ATTTTATGGTTGGGGGTCACCACAATATGAGGAACTGTATTAAAGGGTCTCGGCATTAGGAAGGTTGAGAACCACTGGTCTATAGTAAAAATCGTAGATCAGGGCAAAGAATTGAAGTCCTTGATGACCCTATAACTCTGGATGGAAAGCCATAGGTCAGTATTTGGCACCTACTACCTGTTAGCAATGCTATCAATACAACTTCTTAAGTTATTTAACTGCACTTGAAAACAGTAATTATACAAGTCCCATTTAAAGATGTGTGCCACTACATAAATCCCCTTTATTATATAACTAGAGGCCCAGCGTGCACGAAATCTTGTGTGGTTAGGGTCCCTAGGCCTAGCCTGGCCTCTGTCACATGGCCTCTGCTGCCCTGCGACGCTACGTGAAGCTCAGCACCCCAGGATGCTCCGCTATGCTTGTGGCCCCTTTACTGCTCTGTGAATCCCGAGACTGCTCTGCAAGGCTCCCCCCACCCCTTGACTGCTCTGCGAAGCTTGCTGCAGCCCCACGAAGCTTGCTGCTGGATGCTCCATGAAACTCCCCCGCCACGCCACTGCTCTGTGAGGCTCCCCCACCCCGCAACTGCTTCACGAAACTCCCCCGCCCCACGACTGCTTCACGAAACTCGCTGCCACCCAGGTGACTGCTCCGCTAAGCTCAAGGCCACCCCGAGATGCAGCCCTCCACCACCGCTCAACAGTCCCCAGTCCCGCCCCACCAGCCCCCCTCATGGTGAGCCGCTCCAGGCCACGGGAGGGAGGGGACCGAGAGGTGCTCCATGCACTTCATGGTGACGGGTCACCCGTTCGGTCATGACGGCACCTAGCTCTTTATATATATCAGGATGTGGCAGGTTTATTCACTAGGTTGAAGTCGGTTAGTTTCCTTGATAATTTTAAAGTATGTACATTACTAAATGGGACTCAATTAAGGATGAAAATTATTAGTTGAAAACCATTAAGAAAACTCTCTGGATCACTGCAGTTTACAAAAGCAGGATCCACGTGATTTGAGTGTATGGGCCTAAGACACTTAGATTCAAACCTAGAAGAAGGCTGAAAATTATCCAGAGAAGCAGACAGGGTACATTACCCAAATAAAGGAAGGATTCTCCTTTACACTAGGGTACAAGGTCAGCCTGACAATTCACTCACCCATACACCAACAGGAGATCCCAACTGGCATCTGGAGTCAAGTGCTTGCAGACCATGAGTCCAGAACTTTCCTGGGATGGCACAGCAGAACCCTGGCAACCAGGAGATGTGTTCACTGGTCTTTTCACTCTGCTGCCTTCAGTTACTTCATTCAGGCTAATAGAGCATCCCCTTTTCTTTTTGGTGTCTGACAGCAGCGAACATGTGACACAACCTCATAAAACTTGAATATGGTGAACAGGTCTTTCTTAATTAACCTCACAGCCCAACCCTAAGGTCTAGTAGCCATCTTTAAATGCCACAGATTTGAGGGAGAAAATAAACAAATAACTTTAATAGACAAATTGATCTTCTATGGTTTCATTATATGATACAGCCTATAGAAAAGTTCATTCCAACATCATCATGATCATAGAGACTCACAGAGAGGGAATTCCATATTTGTTTTAAATTTACACACAGAGCAAATAGGTATACAGCTGAGTGAACATAGAATACTGGGCTCCTATGAAAGGTACAAGAAGATAATAACAAGAATAAAATATTCTCACCCTACAGTGACAAATTACAAGCTTACTTTTGTATCATTAATTTCTGATGGTAAATTCTCTATTACCACACTGCAAGCCACTTAATGAGACCAAGTTTTTTTCCATCTCATACTACTGTGGGAATAACAAGAGACAACATAATATTATTTGCTATTATTCACTGCAGTTCTATTTGCATTAAATATCTTATGTCATTTAATATTCACAACTCTATTAGGTAGGTACAGATGATGATATAGTCTCAGATATTGAATACTCTGCCAAAGGTGATACCACTAGTTTTCAGATCATTTTGTCTCTAAGTTGATTATAAACTATGCATAATAAAATTTCAAATAGATGTAAAAGAAGAGAATACAGCCATAAACATTTAAATGGAAAAAAAAAGTGTTCACTCACTGCATTAAGATTTTTGAAAACAGAAAAAGCCTACACACTCCAACAAGTTTTGGTATTCTTGCCAAAAAGAAAAGCAAATAGATTCCAACTATACTTCCATTTATATTTAGAATATGAGCGGTGTCTGAGTATGTAATGAATATGTGTCTCTGTGTGTCTGTGTGTATAACACCCACATTATTCAAAAGCTCCCAAAAATGTGAAAAGTTTGTTCCAATACTTCTCTATTTTGTCTACTTTAAGAATTCTTTGCAATATGCTTATGTAAATACTGCTTTCAGCTGCTGTTCTCATTTCTCAAATCTTCAGATTATAAATGGATTGGAAAAGTGACAGACCTAAGAAGACATCTTTGGAACACAAAACCAAGGAGATATAAACAAATACAACTAAGTCAAAACCAAGGGATTCTTCTTTAAACCCTTTAACTTATCACTACTGATAAATGAAAAGAACTGAAAGTGGAATATACTGGCTGTGGATTAGGGGTATGTGTGTGTGTGTGTTGGTGTTTGTGTGTGTGTGTACATACACGTGCACATGCATATACTAAGGTGGGTGTCTATTTTATTAGCACACACAATAATCAGCATTTTACTTCAGTTCACCAAAAGCCCTATAGGAGCATAAAAATCTAAACAAAAGAAGATTCTGAAGTTAGAGTAATGTTAGGGGAGGGGAGAGTATTTAAGAAAACAGTTCCCAGGTTGTTAAACCCAATAGGTGAGTCCTTGAATTTTCTTATACCAGAATTCACATTATGGTTTAATTGCATTAATAGATCATTGACTCTGCAGGTGATCTGCCTCCTTCACAGTTCAAAAATATGCTGAAGAGGATTAAGGATACAGTAAAATATCACTATCTTACTTACCAGATGCTGAGCCTTCATACAGACATAAGTAAAGACTATTACGATATAAAGATCAGAAAGCACAGTGCAAAGAATATGTTGGCACTAAACTACTATAAGTTGTGAATATACTATTTCCACTTAGAAATGTGAAACTCAGCAATGTTGAAGTTAGTACTTGAAATTAAGTAGTGCATGTGATTGTGTTCGAATCAAAACTGAAACAGAAGACATTTTTTGATGAGGACTTGGCAATAATATCAATGGATTTTGCACTTTGATAACATAATAATCCCACTATTGGAAACACATTCTAAATAGAGCATTTTTGCCACGGTAAAGAACTGAACATACATCTGGTATGTATCTTCTCCATGTAAGTTAATATTACTACAAAATTTTTTATAAAAGTAATACTAAGAACAATTTTACCAAAATAAGGAAAAACTTCTATACTCATCCAACATTGTGTAAAAACTATTTTAGATTTATAAGTGCAGATTCTTTACTCTTATTGTTAGCAAATAAAAATAAACATTTCTAGAATCAGAGAGAAAAAAAGTGACAAAAAGCATCATAAAATTATTGATTTTTCTAGAGATGCCTTTCTTCTTTCAGGGTGATCATACTGATAAAAGTTTAATATAGAAATTCAGTCTAGAAGTTAACAAGGGCTAGGTTAGTGGCTTTGGCCTTGATCTGCTGAAGAAAGCACAGAGGGAGAATTTAGCTTTTGGAAAGAGAACAGATATTGGCAGTCTCCAGATTTTACTTGGAGCATCTCAACCCACATCCAGCCTGGTGTGAAGAGATGGCAGATGGTATTACTTCTGTTATTTCCACTATTGAAGCATCCTGTTCCTCTCTGCAAGCATGAATATTCAGTCACAATAAGGAACAAGGGCAAGTGTGTGCACTGTATTAAGCAGGTACCAAAAAATCTTTATCCTTTTTCTGCTACTATAGATTAATACCAAAAAATCAACATTTAGAAAATATTACTTCTGCCAAGCTTGAAAAAGAGTTATTTTCAATGATATGATGTTGGCTTTCGTGTACTTTATGTGAATGTATGGAGAAAAATGCCTGGGCAAAGAATTAGCATTTTACAGGGAAGTAATTAGCATTTTATAGGGAAGAAATGTAAAGGTAACTAAACAGAATCAATAATTACTTTCCACTTTATTTTATTTTCATGATTCCATTATTTTCTCAGAAAATGCTGAGCTGGCATTAGAGTATCAGTGCTCATCATTCAGATAGCAAATCAGATTCCTTTAACACCACAACAAACCTCTACACTGGCAGGCTATCCAGTTGTGTAAATAATACTTATTTGTAATTCTTTTCTATTTACATTTAAAAAGGATTATTGAATCCAAAAAGGGTAATTTTGCTATAAATAAATGAAACTCAGTGACCATTTATGAGAAATATTGTGACAATACCTGGGTTATGTCACCATGCCCACCCAGAGGAAAGTCTAGAAATAAAATAATATAGCTACATTTGCTAAAATGAGAAGTGTAATGATTGCTGAAAGGAAATCTAAAGGCCACCTACTTAGACTGTGAGGTAATATATCCATCAAAACACCACCTCTCATAAAATAAATTTTTTTAAGGTGATTCATTGTATGTGTGGTTAAGTTTTTCAAGAGATTTTGAAATTGAAAACCTCAGTACATAATATAAATTCCATTCTCCATAGGACACTTGTCGCTAAAAAACAATCATGTGGGAGAGGTGGCATGAGCCAGTCAGCTTTCCCTGTTCCCCTTCCGCTGCTAGGTAAAGGGCAAAAGTCCCATATGCTGGGAACCAGACAGACAGCTCAGACTGACCCATGACCCCCTAGGGCCCAGCAAGTCACTTATTTTAAAAATAAAACAATTCTTAATAAAAGGATGCATATCAGTCTGCTCTTTAGGACTGAGAGGTGATTTCTTAGATCTTTTTCACATCCTAATGAGCATACATTGCGGAAGTAAATCAATGCCAAGGCAAAGCACACGTGTGGAAGTTGAGATACACTTACGAAGTAGCCTGTTCCCAAACTGGAAGGAGCTGAACTCTGCAATAAAGCATAGAGACAAAGTGGAAAATCAGCATTGGTTTTTAACACGTTCCAATCCACACAGCTCATTACCAGCCCTTTGCAGGCTTTTCATCACTACATCACACCACCAGTGTATGCTGCCCCTTGTCATCTGCTCCTGATACAAACACCGTGTTGCTTAATTTTCCCCTTTACATCTCTCAACAACTCAGAGATGCTAACGTGCTATTTACTGAATTCCAAGCTTCTGCGGTGGACGTAATTGCCAATTTATTTGACAGGCAGCTGGGTAATGAATTAATGATGGCATTTCGCCCTGCACTGAGACTAAACAGACACACATCAGCCTGCCTCCCTGACTTGCTGACATTCAATGCCCTGGTCTCAAGCTACTCAGTTTTGTGGCCGCAAAGGGGCAGGCAAGAGGAAAAAGCTCAGACTGACTTGAAAATAAAAAGCCCAGTGGGTCTGGATGACTTTTCCAGCGTATGACCTACTTGCCAGTTTATTCCCTGAAGGCACCAGTTAGTACACACAGAGAGCTTTTCAAAAATGAGACATTTTGTAAACATAATTAGTAGACTGAAATGCAAAGAATGTGTGGGTAAAGGAAAGCAGTAAAATGCACCATTTTTCTCAAGGTTTTAGGCTCCCATAGTCTGACACATGGAAACTAAAGAACAATAATTCTAAAAGGTATGTAAGGGCATCACTGCTTTGGGGAAGGAGACCATACAAAGGACTTGGTTTGTGTTTTAGACTTGCCTTGGATTCTTTCTTGTATGTTTGTTTCTCAGCCCCCCCTGCCCCCGCCAAAAAAAAAAGAAATCTCAGTACAAATTCTTTAATTTTCTCCTGGCAGGTGTGCTCAGTGGTTAGAGCATCAGCCCTAGCACCTAAGGGTCCTAGGCTGGATTCCAGGTCAAGGGCAGGTACCTCAGTTGCAGGTTAGATCCCCGGTCCCTGGGGTGCATGCAGGAGGTAATCCATGTGTCTCTCTCACATCTTTCTCTCTCTCTCTCTCTCTCTCTCTCTCTCTCTCTCTCTCTCTCTCTCTCTCCCCCTCCCTCCCTCCCTCCCACACTCTCTAAAAAAAAAAAAAAAAAAAAAAAAAAAAATCAATGGAAAAAATATCCTAGGGTGAGGATTAATACCAAAAAAATTTCTTTACTTTTTAGTATCCTCTATTTGAACAACAGAAGTCCCAAGTAAGCTTGAAACAAAAAGAATGCTAATGCTTAGGTAGTCTTCAAATCGCAGCTAAGGGTCCTTGCAGAAGCAAGGCCTTCTCCCTGACTAGTTTGGGTGGGGTGTTATGCCTTCCCTCGAGTGACCTGACTTCCACTCTGATGTATCAGTTGCTCAATTCACCTGTAGTTCCTCCACCTAATTGTCCTGTGCCTGCTCTGCAAACTATAGGTAGCAGGAATCATCTGGTTTACTCATAATTGCTTCCCCAGAGCTTAGCACAATGCCGATGCATTTTTTAAAAGTATTTGTTGGACTGATGTACATATAAATGAATGTATTGTATGTGGGGGGAAATGATGAATTCAGTATCTGCAAAAATACAGATGTGTTTCTTCTTAATCTTAAACTGTTTCTGAGAAGGAAATACAGTACTGTCAGTACAAACAGCATTAGTATCAAACAAAGTTAATATGCTCCAGGGCATTCCTAAGTGCAGCTCCCAAAGCCAAACTTTCTTCACCTCCATGTTTCAGACAAGCTCAGGGGAATCACAGATGGCGGATGTGTGATCTTGCACACTGGTCTTGCTTTAAAAAAATCCTGCTGCATTCTTGATCCCATAAATGGTACATAGGGAGATCCACAGTAGTCATGGAGACGGCTTCTCCAGCAGTGATTAGCCATGTGACAGCATCACCTGCTTTCAGCACCCAGAGCCTTCCATGGAGCAGAGGAAAGCAAAAACCAGGTTAGGTCTCCACCAGCCTGGAGTCATGCCCCTGGGAGGTTAAATCATCTTAGGATGAATTACTCAAAGAAAACATGGAATTTGTTTATTTCAGGGTTTTTTTTCTACCTGCAAATATTATTTTATCCCAGAAGTACCCCTCCAAACCCACTCCTCCCCCCCGCCCCCCCCCCCACATATCATCTTATTGTATACCAAAGAAAATTACATACTTCAGGTCTCAGAAAGCTCTGTTATACTCATTTTGCATATATATTGTACATTACTCAGGGAGCTGGGTGGAGGAGAGGGCTTTGTTGTGCATATTTGTTCTGGCTATTGTTTATGCAGGTCTGACTGAATGAGGGAACAGTGGGTATCATTTCAATTTCTGATGTCAACATCAAATTACTTATTTAATTTCATGCCTGGCGAAGCATTGTATAGCTACACGCAGAATCATTTCACTTCATTTGTTATGCTGTGTTTTCATGGTGATTGGCTTGCCTTCCAACTGACAGCTTTAATTACGACATGAATTTGATTGCACTGCCGAGGAATTAACATAATGCAACAAAGCATTTAAGGACCCTGCCTTATAACAACCCTACTCCCCCCCCCCCCCGCACACACACACACACACACAAACACGTCAGACACATAAACACAGATACTAGACCCTCATGTACGTTACAGGTCCACTGGAGTTGCGGGCTTGCTAGAAAGCATCAGAACCTTAGAATCAGAGGCTACCCACATTCTCCAACCCACTGTAGGAAAAGATTTGTGGTATTAAGTTGTGATTTCTGGACCAGGCAGAAAACTTTGTAGAAAAATTCTCCTGGTTTAGTTTGCCAAATATCCATGATACTGACATTTCCTCCTCTTATGTCCTTCCCCACCATATTTTTCTTGGCCCATTGCCAGCTACCTTCAATCATTGCTAAATGAATCTGAACAGAAATATCTCTGAAATATAGAGATTACTCCTTGTCCAGTTCTACTTTCCCAAGAATCTGACTAAGGCTTTGTATTCAGTGTGGCACCACCCCTTGTAGCTAAAAGTATCTCCACCATCAGATATAGGTGACAAGTTCTGAGACCAGCAATAGAGTAGAGGTCTGTTTCACTGACAGCTGACAACACACATCACATGTCCAAGGCCTTGCTATCCAAAAGTCCCAGAAGAGCCTTGGTCATGTATGCCTAATCTAAGTCTGCATCCAAATATAGCTGCAAAATATTTGTTAGCAGTAACATTTTTCCAAGTCAGAAATTCCATGAATACCATAAATCATGGGCAACAACAGATTAAGCTACAAAAATGCAATGCTTATAAATACCTTTTTATTTGAAAGATGTTACATTAGTTATACATTTACAGATGTGCATTTAGGGATTGGTGCTGCTTTTTCATGTTAGAGAAGAGACAGACACCAAGACGTAAAGGCCTAACCCTGACCACTGAACCATTTGATGAAATAAAGTTGATTTCAACAAATTCTAATGAGAGGAGGGGTCTTCTGTTTTTCTTACAAAATGTCCAAACTATACAGCAAAAATATCCATAAAATCCAGAAAAGCCTATGAATCAAACTGAGGCTTGAAAAGGGACATGTTTTTAAAAATGCAACAAAGGCATACAACAGCATCTGAAATGATAGCATGCATTCATGTTTAGGCAAATACTTCATTCATATTTCTTCAAGTGGCAGACTTGCCAATTCATTCATATTTTCAATGCAGTAGGTAGAAATTAGAGGTATAGAGAGACTGAGAAAATAGAGTAGGAGAAAGTGTTTAGCAGTTTGCATGAGAAGACAAGAATATCAGAAAACGCCAGCTAGCTGACTGTGTGATATGCGATTTCTGGGCTTATTATAAGCCATCTCCTGTTTAACATGTTTTTTCATTCTGCTGTGTGTTTTTTTGTTTGTTTGTTTTGGGTTTTGTTTTTGTTTCTGTTTCGTGTTGGGTTTTTTTTGCCAATTTGACCACTGCTCTAGCTATCTCTGCAAATTACATACCTCGATCTCATTATGTTGCAAAGGAGAGCTTTCTTACAAACACACTCTGTCTGGTTCAATCTCCAAGCTACCATGGGCTGCAGGAATTGTAATAGGATGCACAGTTGAAAGACATTTTCCAGGAGGGAGAATGTTGCTGCTGACATTCAAGTCTGCAAGTGGATATTCATTAAATGCTCATTCTCCTCTTTCTCACTGCCCGCCACCTGACTTTCTCTCCATCTCTGTCACTAAGCTATCCTTGAAGCTACTCATTAAAGTCATGAAGTTAACATTTCTGTGTTAACAGCTTACCTACAACAAGGGATTTCAAAATTGATTATCCATCTAAAATAGATGTGCTCCATTCATTAGAGATCTACACAGAGAGGCCACGGCTACTATTACAGCTCCCTGAGTATGAAATGGATGTGTGCTCCACCCGGAGATGAGATATGTGCTCTGACCCTAGGGCTAATTTAAATAGAATATTTAAAATTGTTCCAAATCACCAGTTGTGTCTGACATTCCTGCCTACCCACCTCCATGTTAATGCTTTTCTCTCTTGGGAGTAAGAAGCATAAGGATCATGGCCAAGTACATTTCTTGCAAAGGTCAGGAGACAAGCTCATTTGTGGATTTCCTGTAGTGTTTTAGAAAATAATGACAATTAAAAGAACCTGAAATCTTAATCCTAAGAAATCAATCTTGGGGATACAATTACTAATAGCCGATAAAGACGCAAAATAGTGTAAATGAGCTACTAGGAAAATTCAAGTAAAAATGGAAAAAGGACGACAACTTGAAAACAAGCATCAGGTATGATGATTATGGTCACTTCCACCTTCCATTTTCCAACCCTCGGCTATAACCCACTCCAAGTTGTCACCAGCTCTCAACTATACTCAACAACCTTTATGGCTTTTTGTTTTTTAATTTCATTCTTTATCTGCAGTTTTGCATATAAAAGCCAAAGCAAACATTTTAAAGTAACAATGATAACAACACTCCTTTTAATATCTTCCAGAGCCTTTTAAAATAGTAAATCATCTAGGGTGAACAGTGTCCCCTTGATTGTGAGGGTTAATTTTACCTAGGCTACTGGGTATCATGATAGTTGGTCAAACTATTCTGGGTGTCACAGTGAGGATGTTTTTGGATGAGCTTAGCATTTAAATAGAAAGACTGAATAAAGCATACTGCCCCCTCCCTAATGTGTGTGATCTTTAGTTTAATAAAACAAACAAAAATCATCCTCAGAATAGGAGGGAATTCCTCTGTCCTACTGTCCTCTAGCTGTAACAACAGTGTTTTCCTGCTTTCAGGCACAAACTGGAAGAAACACTGACTCTTCCTGGGTCTCAAGCATTTCGGCCTTTGGACTGGAACTAACCACCAGCTCTCCTGGGTCTCCAGCTTGCCGACTGCAGATCTTGAGATTGTCAGCCTCCAACCTTGTATATGTCCATACATTCTATTAGCTCTGTTTCTCTTGAGAGCCCTGATAGAATGACCTTGTTTAGAAATAGGATCTTTAAAAGATGAAGTCACACTGGATTAAGGTGGGCCCTAAAGCCAATGACTGTTGGCCCTCTTGAAGAGGGAAAGGCACACAAAGCTACAGACAGAATAGAAGGCCATGTGAAGACAGAGGCAGACACTGGGCTGATAGAGTTAAGAGCCAGGTACACCGAGGACCGGAAGAGCCACCAGCAGCTAGAGGAAGGAAAGGATTCTTCCCTAAAGGCTTCAGCAGGGATCACAGACCTGCTGACACCTTAGTTTGGGACTTCTTGCCTTGAAAACTATGAGATAATCTATTTCTTTTGTTTGTTTTAAACCACTCACTTTGTGGTCACTCATTACAGCAGCCCTACAAACTAATGTAATACCTAGCCTCCTCACCATAGGCCAGGAGGGGAAACAGAATATCGGCAGTCCTTCACAGGTCTGGATTGGATTCTCTTCTTAAACACAGAGACACTCACTGCTGGTGCAGTCAGTATCTGTTTCTCCTCTAACAGTGGAGGGTAAGTATGTGATCAGCCCCTGTGTTCGTTCACCGCACTCGAGCCAACCAGCCTTTTCTCTCCCTCAAACATGTCACGCTTGCTTTGACTTAGGGCCTTGAACGTGCTGTTTTTATTGCCTGGTGTGCTTTTCCTTCAGATCTTCACAAGGTGCTCAGGCTTTTCTTCATTCAGGCTTCAGCTCAATGTCACCTACACAGAAAGGACTAATCCAATCTCCCTAGTTAAAACAGCAAAATGCACCCTTCTACCTTCCATCGCTGTTTTGTTTACGTCATTAAATGTATCATATCAGAAATAATTTTACTGTTTGCTCACAGGCGTGTTTTTGCCTCCCCCGATAGAATGGAAACTTCACAAGGGCAGTGACTTCATCTTGTTCACCATTCAGCCTCAAGTGCCCAGAATTATACCTGTCACCTAAAAGGTACCAATAAAGATTTCTGGACAATCAATACACTGACAATTCTAAGAAAACACATACATATATGGTATAGGAAAGGGAAAGGCATACATAAACTTTTAGAGGGGAAATATAGCACAAATAAAAATAAGAGAAAAAAGGAGAAATAAAATATCAAAAATCCTCCAAAGGTCTGGATTAGATGTATTTCCTAAACTACAAAGAAGCTCATTGATGGTATTGCCTGTTCTGTTTCTTCCTTACAGTGGCTAGCAAAACTTTCATAAAGGTTTGGGGAGAGGGTAGGAAGAAAAGAGGATAGGCGCCGCTAGATGCTTGCATCGATGGATGAAATATGGCATGGTGGGGCAGATAAGCCAATAAAACCCCCAAAACTGGGAAGAAACTGAAGAAATAATCAACTGTGATCAGGGTAAATGACTACACAGAACAGTCACACTAGAGAACTGTTTAGCACAAGACTTATGAGAATTCGATCCCTTTTCACTATTCTCTGGAATGTTTTAATTCCTTCAAAGTTTTGAACACTTAGAAAGTATTAAATATATTTCTGCCCTCAGAGCACTCAGTCAAAAGATCTCAATGACTGTGTAATACTATGCTCTTGTCCACTGACCTAATGTGGCTTTCATTTCTCTGCTATATGATGAAATTGAGACTACTAACTAATCCTGTAAAAACTTCCAGTGTCAATAAGATCTTATATTTAAAAGGAAAATCTCAGCCCTAGCTGGTCTGGCTCAGAGGATAGAGTGTCGGTCTATGGACTGAAGGGTCCCAGGTTTGGTTCCAGTCAAGGGCACATGCCTGGGTGGCCAGCTGGATCCCCAGTGGGGGGCGTGCAGGAGGCAGCTGATCAATGATTCTCTCTCATCATTGATGTTTCTATCTCTCTCTCCCCTCTCCCTTCCTCTCTGAAATCAATATATATATACTGATTTATATATATATATACCTCTCCCTTCCTCTCTGAAATCAATATATATATATATAAAATTTCAGAAGAACAGCTCCTTGAGTAATTTATAGTGGTATCACAAAATCAATGAAATATAAACACACAAAGAAATATTCTTATCCACTCATACTCATCACAAAATTAATGAAATATAAACAAAGAAATATTCTTATCCACTCATACTCATAGCAAAGACTGAGTGAACTGACATTATTCAATATTAAAAGGGGAGGAAAATATCTATAATTAAGATACTAAGAGTACTATATAAATAATTATACTTTGTTTATTCCACTTAATTCTTGTAAGAATTCAATGTTGCATGCATCAACTATTACCCTAAATCTCACAAACTTTCCTGAGAGGTGTAGGAAGGTGGCTGGTTTTTGTGGTTGTCCACCTTCGCTGATGGAGAAGTAGATGGGCGATTTTTATAGGAATGACTCAGTGTGCTACAATGGTCTCCAAACTTTCATGCTTATGAACACTTCTCAGTAAAAAGCTTTGAGCACATTTCTAAAATGTTTATAAGTTATAGAAACAAACTACTCCATGATTATTAAATTGGGTATTAGCAAAGTTTAATTTCTTTTTCAGACAAAAAGTAAATATGTACTAACACTTAATACACTAATCATCATATACACCATAATGAAGAAACTGCTTTGGAGCATAAAAAAGAAGAAAACAAGAGGCAATGGATTTGCTCCTATTATACACCCTAACTCTGCTGCTTCTTGAAACTCAGGGACAGAATTGCTGTCTTCTTAAGAGTATTATCTCACTTACTCTGTTAATGTTTCTGTGTTGGTATCAATAATAAAATTTCCTATATACTTGATCTATTTTATAAGAAAGTTTCCAAGTGTTGCTCTCAGGGGCAAAGATGGTTTAAGAATCCTGTTATATGACATGTTGGGGAAGAAGGCTAGAGTGTCCGAAGAGGGCCCGGTGGTGCTGGCAAGTGGTAAAGGGGAATCAGGCCCCTTGGTGGGGGGCGGATGGAGAGCTGACAGATCCGTCAAGAGGCATGGTGTGTTCTCACAAGGGTTTCTCCCCCAGAAATAGGCAGTGATACACTGGGGAGATGACATCATTTAACTCTGGGCTATTTGTAATTTCTTCACCCATGAGATTGGTAATAATCCCTTTCTGCGATTTTATTTCTGTTAGAAGGGGTGACTAACAAGCCAATTACTTGGCAAGAGAAGGAACTGAATTTCCTGACTGTTTCTAAGGTGACAAATACTCCCTCCTACCTTATATTTTGTTAAAACACATTTTAGGTCAAACTAGAAAATGGAATAACACTGTAACGCAAGGCTCAACCATGTGTACATGAAGAAAGGGTGAACTTATACTTGGATATACAAAGCGATATGAAGTGTAGTGTAGGGAATTGAGACTTTACCCAAGGGATGTAAGGTTTGGTGGTTCTGTCTGATTTCTTTTAAAATACTTACATCGCTGAGTCTTTCCCGAGAGCTGCTCCTGTGGAAACCCTTGGATTCTCCACTGGCGCTTTCACTGTCGCTGTCCCTGCAGCTGTTCTGTCCTGGCTTGAGCTAAAGACAAAAGAAAAGAGAAACAAGAAGAGAGTCAGCGTTCTCCCCTCACAGGATTGTTGCTTCGCCCCTGTCTGTAAGCCTCATCAGAAGTGAAGAACTTTAAGTCTTGATCTTAAACATTCTCCTCAGTTTCTGAATAGTGTCAGGCAAGTTGCCATAGAGAGAAACACAGAAGCAAAACATTTACCATAGAATGCTGATATAGATAAAAGAGTGATCAAGCCTCAAATAAACACTTGAAAAGTCTAACAAGGGTCCATAAATCTTAGAAAGTAATCTTCCCTCAAAGTTTTCCTCTGTTTCATTGTGATTGTTGGTCAAAAATAAAAAGACCCAGAACACTGGCCAGATTACACCAACTATAATTTCCCACCTTGTTTCTCCTGTCCTCTTCTAATAAAAAACAGAACAGGAGAAAAACCAAGGCTTTCCCATCCTAGGAGAAAATGATGAGATGCTGGGTGCTATCCGTAACCACTGGGAAGACACTTAATAATCCTGTTTGTTGAGACAACGTTCTGGAGGTCTCCTGCTCGATATTTAAAAGTCACAGGTTAAGACATACAGTTTAAGTAAATTAAGCCAGCACTCATTCAACAAACAGGTATTAAGTCCACAACGGGGCCTGATAGTAAGCATTAGAGATATGGTGACAAACAAACAAACAAAAAAGTCTCTACACATTTACGCAGCTCTGGTTTTCCAATAAACGAGTCAAACACATAAGGAAGATCGGTCTGTCTATGATGTCATCACCAACCAAATTTGCAGAAATCCCAAGCAATTTGATGAAGGTTACAAGACACAGCCCCTTTACAATGTGCTCAATCTAGCAAATGAAATAAAGTGCAAGACATGTAAGTATAACCATACAAGAAAATACTTGCTAAATGAAAACCAAAAATTAGCCAGTGACCACCGAGGAAAGTGATTTTTGAAGCCATGGATTTTGAAAGAGGACTGAGCTCAGAGGATTTGGCTGAGAGGAGAGAAGACAATCCTGATGGGAGAAAGGCAGAAAGCAAAGGCAGGGAAAGCGACTTGCCAGGAAATGATTCGGGTCTTCTCAGAAACAGAATGAGAAGACATATTTGGGGAGAAAATAGAAAGAAATCTTAGAGATGGGTGTATGGACCAGAACATGGATAGTCTCAATCAAAGCAAAAGTTCCATTTTTCTGGGAAGGAGGGAACTTCTGAGAGCAGAACAGATAACAGGTAGCAAAACGTTTATCTGCAGGTTTTCATATGGCTCTGGGGCCAAGGGATAAGATGAACAAAATGAACGGAGACTGAATCTGTATTACATTTCTATATCTTCAATGTGCTTCTTTAAAGACTGAAGTGCAGACCCCACTTTTTAAAAAATGTTTTTATTGATTTTTAGAGAGACAGAGGGAGAGGGATAGAGAGATAGAAACATCGATGAGAAAGAAACATCTATCAGCTACCTCCCGCACCTACTGGGGATTGAGCCTGCAACCTGGGTATGTGCCCTGACCAGAAATTCACTGGTGACCTCCTGGTTCATGGGTTGATGCTCAACCACTGAGCCATACCAGCAGGGCCAGACACCACTTTTGATCATACCACCTAATTAGATATTTCCAGATCCCCACTATGTAGAGCATTCTTTTTAGCTTCCATACTATCTACAAATCCATTTTTTTTTAATCCTCACCCAGGACACGTTTTTTCATTGATTCTAGAGAGAGAGAAAGGGAGAGGGAGAAAGAGAGAAACATCAATGTGAGATAGAAACATCAATCAGCTGCCTCACACATGGGCCCCTACCAGGGATTGAACCCACAACCTGGGTATGTGCCCTGACTGGGAATTGAACCCGAAAACCTTTGGTGCATGGGACAATGCTCTAATCACACAGCAACTCCAGCAAGGGCTCTACAAATCCATTTTTATCATTTCCTTCTAAACATTATTCTCCAGAAGTCTTCTCTAATGGAACCCCAACAGTGATGCTAATTCTACTTTGTATCCTCCTCAGCCTTTAAGTATTTCGTCTCCTCCTAAATTATTGCTAAACTTGCTAATTCTCAGTTAATCCAGATGCAAGCTCTATGAGCCTTTCTTATTACTATGGAATATAAGTTCAGAATATTGTCTTTCTATTCAAGTATTCATTTTTATACTTATAATAAAAGGGGATTTAATCTAAAATGAACATCGCTTTCTTGAACATGTCATGTCCATTTCTGCTCTCCACTTTTTCACAAGGGATTTCCTCTTTCTGGCATGCTCATCCTCACATTCTCTGTGTTCTTCAGGCCAAGATTTTTTTTTAAAAAAAACCCTCATAGATAGTATATCCTCCACCATGGTCTTTGAAGAAATCTTTCTTTATAAATTCATTTTTTAATATATGCCCTCACAGTTAGCTAGCATAACATTCTATCATATATTTTCAAGTTTAAAGCAGACTACTATTAAATAAGTTTGCACTGATGATAAAATCTGTATGTGGAGAGGCCCCCTTAATTTATAAGCAATGTCAGAAATCTCAGCTCACTGGATCTCTGAGTTAAGCAAACATAGGTAAAGGTACCTCCAATGTGCAGATGAAGAAACAAATAAAACCAGAGATGTGCTCAGAAGTAGGCATGAAATCTAGAACTAAACCCATGTCTCTACTGCCTACTGCTCACTTCATTCAAATCTTAGTGCCCATTTATTTTTTTAAATATGTTTTCATTGATTTTTCAGAAAGAGGGAAAGGGAGAGGGATAGAGAGAAAGAATCATTGATGAGAGAGAAAGATCCATCAGCTGCCTCCTGCATGCTCCCTACTGGAATGGAGCCCACAATCTGAGCATGTGCCCTGACCTGGAATGGAACAGGGACCTCTTGGTTCCTGAGTTTACACTCAACCACTGAGTCACACCAGCTGCACCTTAGTATGCATTTAGGTATTTACATTTAACATGGAAATAATGAGTCTGCAGGATGTTAGTATCTCCATGGAATATATTCTAAATACATCTTTAGTACTTGGCTGCATTCTCAAAGAAGAACTCTTATAAGGTGATATCTGATCAAGAGATGTTTATAAAAACTCAGTCCCCCAACTAAGATGAAAAATAAAGATCCAAGGAATAAAGGATATCAGGGTGTGAAGACTATTCTAATATCTAACTGGCTTAGCAAACTGTGGACTTTGCATATGGGTCTTTTCCATGTTTTTGCACGGAAGGAAAATGATAGAACGCCCAACAAGAGACTCCAGTGGACTTGACATAAATTATCTGACTAACTGTTGATCTGGGCTAAGGGCAAAACTCAAGAAGAACTGAGATGAAGCAGTTTGCTAGTCTTCCCTGTGCCCTGCCAGCAAAAGCACTTCAGTGAATTTTCTTGGGAGAGTCTTACATAAAATCCACCCCCACACTACCCCTTTCTCCTCCAAAGCCAGGCTCAAGTTTAAAGGAAACTTAGGATTTTAAACTGTCAGACAGCTCAATATTTCAAAGAAATGGATTGACTATAGTAAGTACTAAAGCTAAACCACATGATTTCAGGCAAAAGAAGTATTCACTCTTAATCCCATGAATATATTTAAAACTGGCATTTTCAGCCACATCCAATGGATCATTTGGGGTAGCATAACTAACTCAAAAGTTGTAATCCTTCACCTGAAATTCCCAGCTATTTCCTACAACCAAGGGACATTACAAAGGCCAGGTGTTGGCTTAAACATTTAAAGACCTAAGAAAAATCAATCTGCTTACATTGATTTGTCCTAGCATCCATGGCGGCTCTGTTATAAGAAAGCATTGCTCTAACTGATGCAATGAGTTTTCTTACTATCAGCCTATAAATACTTCAGCACCTCGTTTATTTAAAAATTACTGTAATTCACTCTCTAGTTCCAGAACTTTCTTCCCATCAGAGGAGTATATATTTCAGTCACCAGTATTAAAACAAACGAGACAAAATGAAAGGATACTAATGTCTGGCCTGAGTGGCAGTAATTATATCGATAAGATTAATATCTTTTATAAAATGAAGCCATTTCGTTTTTCATTAGATTTCACTGTCAACAATATATTCTCCACACTCTGAAACTGTGATCTCGTTACAGACTTAACTGTTATTAATGGCTAATTAGGAAAATAACGATCCATGGTTTTATCACTGCTAATGAACATATAACAAAGTCTCATCTCCCTGGACTGAGTGAAAGGTAGAGCAATTCTGCACACATCTGCCAAGATTTGTGAGCCAGGCTATGATCATTCTTTTCAGCTTGAGTATGGAGAGTTCCAGCAAGATGCTAGCTGCTCAGCAGGTGTCATTAACCCTTCAAGCAAAATTTATAGGAGAATAAAGTATGTAGAGAAGATGTCTATGCCTGGAACTCCCAAGGAATGATGTAAATTATGCAGTGTAATACAGAAGATCATCCAATTATGCAGTGCAATGCAGAAGAGCATTCCACAGTTTTGGTTCCTCAAAGTGGCATAAATCCTATCTCAGACTGCTGAGTTCTCCTGTAAGGATCTAAATAAATTCTATATAAGGTTTTTAAAATGTGTCAATAAGCACAGAATTTTCTCTCATTCAAAGAAATTTTGAAATACACCTTCATTAAAACAGTAAGAATTTAATCTCATAAATTTTTTTTCCAAAAAATAATTGTCCACAATGGGGAGGGTTTAATAGATTGGGTGGCATCTGTACTATTTTATTCCTTAGGCTTTAAAAAGTATTTCAGATGAGATATAGAGAACCAAACTCAAGAACTTAACGATAGCTCGGCTGGCATGGCTGAGTGGTTGAGGGTCTACCTATGAACCAGGAGGTCACATTTCGATTCCAGGTCAGGGCACATGCCCAGATTGCGGGCTCGATCTCCAGAGTTGGGTATGCAGGAGGCAGCTGATCAATGATTCTCTTTCATCATTGATGTTTCTATCTCTCTCTTCCTCTTCCTTCCTCTTTAAAATAAATAAAAATATTTTTTAAAATGAAAATTATAAACAT